ATGTCAATGTATGGTAAAAACCACCACAATATTGTGAAGCAATTAGCCTCCAATTAAAATAATTAATTAAAAAAAAAGAAAATCCCAAAGATGCTACCAGAGAATTACTAAAACTCATCAGTGAACTTGGTAAAGTTGCAGGATACAAAATTAATACACAGAAATCTCATGCATTTATATACACTAACAATGAAAGATCACAAGGAGAAATTAAGGCAACAATCCCATTTACCATTGCACCAAAAAGAATAAAATATCTAGGAACAAATCTACATAAGGAGCAAAAGACCTATACTTTGAAAACTATAAGAGGTTGATGAAAGAAGTCAGAGATGATACAGATGGAAAGATATACCATGTTCTTGAATTAGAAGAATCAATATTGTCAAAATGAATATACTACTGAAGGCAATTTACAGTTTCAACGCAATTCCTATTAAATTGCCAGTGGCATTTTTCACAGAACTAGACAGCAATTTTAAAATCTGTATGGAAACACACAAGATCCTGAATAGCCATAGTAGACCTGAGAAAGAAAAATGGAGCTGGAGGAATCAGGCTCCCTGACTTCACACTGTACTACAAAGCCACAGTAATCAAAACAGTATGAAACTGGTACACAAATGGACACATAGATCAACGGAACAAGACAGAAAGCCTAGAGATAAACCCATGCACCTACGGGCACCTTACCTTTGACAAAGGAGGCAAAAATATACAATGGAGAAAAGGCAGTTTCTTCAATAAGTGTTGTTGAATAAAGTTGACTACATGTCCACTACATGTAAAAGAATGAAATTAGAATATTCTTTAACACCATACACAAAAATAAGCTCCCTTCAGAGGAAAACATAGGCAGAACACTGACATAAATCACAGCAATATCTTTTTGGATCCACCTCCAAGAGTAATGAAAATAAAACCAAAAATAAACTAGTGGGGCCCAATTAAACTTAAAAGCTTTCGCACCATAAAGGAAACCATAAACAAAACCAAAAGACAATCCACAGAATGGAAGAAAATATTTGCAAATGATGCAACCAACAAGGGATTAATCCTCCAAATATATAAACAGCTTATGCAGCTCAGTATAAAAACAAACAACCCAATCAAGAAATAGGCCAAAGATATAAAGAGACATTTCTCCCAAGAAGATATACAGAATGTCCCAAAAGCATATGAAAAGATGTTCAACACTGCTAACCCTTAGAGAAATGCAAATCAAAACTACAATGACATACCAATTCATGCTAGTCAGAATGGCTATCATCAAAAAGTCTACAAATAATAAATGCTGGAGAGGGTTTGGAGAAAAGGGAACACTCCCATGCTATTCAGTTCAGTTGCTCAGTCGTGTCCAACTCTTTGTGACCCCACGAATCGCAGCATGCCAGGCCTCCCTGTCCATCACCAACTCCCGGAGTCTACTCAAACTCATGCCCATCAAGTCGGTGATGCCATTCAGCCATCTCATCCTCTGTCATCCCCTTCTCCTCCCGCCCCCAATCCCTCCCAGCCTCAGGGTCTTTTCCAATGAGTCAACTCCTTGCATGAGGTGGCCAAAGTACTGGAGTTTCAGCTTCAGCATCAGTCCTTCCAATGAACGCCCAGGACTGATCTCCTTTAGGATGGACTGGTTGGATCTCCTCACAGTCCAAGGGACTCTCAAGAGTCTTCTATGCTATTAGTGGGATGTAAATTGGTACAACCATTATAAAGCACAGTATGGGGGTTTCTTAAACAGCTAAAAATAGAGTTACCATATGATCCAGCAATCCTACTTGGGCAAATATTGAAACAAAACCATAATTAGAAAAGATACATACACCCCAATGTTCACTGCAGCACTATTTATAACAGGCAAGACATGGAAGCAACCTAAATGTCCATCAACAGAGGAATGGATAAAGAAAATGTGGTACATACACAAAAGAATATTACTCAGCAATGAAAAAGAAGGAAATAATGCCACTTGCAGCAACATGGATGGACTTAGATACTGTCGTACTGAGTGAACTAAGTCAGACACAGAAAGACAAATATCATATGTCACTAATATGTGGAACCTAAAACAGGAGGGGGGTAAAATGAATTTTTTAAAAAACAGAAGTACAGTCACAGAGGTAGAACGCAAACTTACAGTTACCAGGGCGTAAGTAGGGGAGGGATAAATTGGGAGACTGGGATTTGCATATATATATATGTAACATAGATATAAATACATTGCTACTATAACTACTATATATAAAACAGATAATAATAAGAATCTACTGTTCAGCACAGGGAACTACTCTGCAATGACCAATATGGGAAAATAATCTAAAAAAAAGTATGGCTATATGTGTATGAATAACTGATTCATTTTGCTGTACATCTAAAACTAGCACAACATTGTAAATAAACTATACGCCAAAAATTTTTTAAAGAGATACATGTACCCCAATGTTCACTGCAGTACTATTTATAATAGCCAAAACATAGAAGCGACATAAATGTCCACAGACAGAAGAGTGGATAAAGAGGACGTGGTACGTAATACATAATGGAATATTACTCAGTCACAACCAAGAATAATACCACGTGCAGCACACCTAGAGATTATTATACCAAGCGAAGTAATCAGACAGAAATACAAACATCATATGATATCACTTGTATGTGGAATCTAAAACAAAGATACAAATGGACCTGTTTACAATACAGAAACAGACTCACAGACTTCAACACCAAACTTACGGTTACCGAAGGGGAGAGTGGGGGGAGGGATAAACCAGGAGCCCGAGCCTACTGTACAGCCCAGGGAGCTCTACTCAATATTCTTCAATAAACTATATGGGAAAACGACCTGAAAAAGAACTGAGTCACTTCGCTGGACTCCTAAAATCAACACAACATTGCAAACCGACTATACTATAAAATAAAAATTAAATTTTAAAAATGTATAAGTAAACAGTAAATGATGACAACAAACCATTTACATGTTTCTCCACCTTGCTTTTCTCATTTAAAAAATGTACTCTAGAGATCACTTCGTAAGAGTATGAGAACATCTTCATTTCTCTCTACATCTGAATAGTACTCCCTCATGTGGACATGCCATACTTCTGATTTATTCAGTGTCCTACTGATGGACTTTTGGGTTTTTTCCAGTGTTCTGCGATTCAAGGTAGTCTTTCTCTATCAAGAAATCTCTCTGCGTAAGTCTTTTTCTTATTTATTGCTAGTATATCTTTGGCATTAGAATCCTAGAAGTGGGAACTGCTCTATCAATGAGAAAATATGTATTCATTATTTTTAGATATTGCCAAATTCCCCTCCCCAGTGTTGTACTATTTGCATGTCCAATGACATTGTAGGAGAATGGTTGCTTTCTTTCAGTCTCACCACAGAGAATGCTATCTTCTGGATTTATGTCAGTCTCATAGTTGAAAAAAGGTTTCTCAACTTGGTTTTAGTTTGAATTTCTATAGCATGGTTGTTTTTCAAGCAGTTAAGAGCCAACTCTGTCCTCTTGACATGATCTCTTTTCATTAATATCCTGGAAGCCCCATTTGCAAACAATTCTATTTTTTCCCATTTCTTGGGTTGTTAATTTTAACCTTCTTTTCTATTTCCATAACTCCTATTTATTTCCTAAATATTTTCTTTCTCTGCATTGTGTCTCAGCATTTCTTTTAAGATCCATTCCTTGGACTTAATAATCATTGTTATTCTTATTGCAATTAAGTCTGTACCTGAAGCCCCAAACTCTCCCTCTTCTTCGGTCCCAATTCTCAAACTGCATAGTGAAAGTTGTGAATTGTGCCTCCCAGGCACCTTAAACCCAACCTGTCTGCTGCCCCTTATCATCATGCCCTTCTTTGGGCATTGTTCAGTGCAATAAATGCCACCCCAGCTCTCCAGCTGCCCCAGTCTTAAACCTGGGCTCTTTTCTGCTGACTCTCTCACTCACCTTCCTTGAATCAAATCAATCGCCAAATTCTGTGACGTTTTCCTTATAAATGATTCTTGAATCCATCTATTTTTCTCCATTTCAAACTATTGATCTAAGCCACTGTCGTTTCTTCCCTGGACTCCTGCACCTTTCTTGTAGGTGGCCTTTCTTAGTTTTTCTTGCTCCCAAACATGATCAGAATTACCTTTAAAAGTACAAATAAGAGGACTACCCTGGTGGCACAGTGGATAAGAATCTGCCTGCCAGTGCAGATGATACTGGTTCGATCCCTCATCCAGGAAGATCCTACATGCCCTGGAGCATGTAAGCCCAAGGGCCAGAACTACTGAGCCTGCGCTCTAGGGTCCATGAGCCACAACTACTGAAGCCACGTGCCTAGAGACTGTGCTCTGCAATAAGACACCGAAATGAGAAGCCCATGTACTGCAATGAAGAGCAGCCCCCCACTCACAGCAATTAGAGAAAGCCCTTGCAAAGCAATAAAGACCAGCGCCATCATAAACAAATAAATATTTTTTAAAAGTACAAATAAGACAGTGCCATTTACTCATTTGAAAACCACCAAAACTCAAAAAGTCCCTAAAACCCGAACCTTCCAAACCAAGAAACCCATCTCAAGTCCTGTATTTCCATAGATACAGATGTATATAACCACTGCAAAGCTCTGGATACTCAATACTGAACTGATGACTGGCGGTACACCTCTGGGGAGCAGGCTAGGGTCAAAGTCAACGAAGGGGATGCCATGGGCAGGCTTAGTGTTGGTGAAGGAGGACTAAATGTTTTATCATTATTTGCATGGTCTGAATTTTTACAATTATTCTCCAGTAACATGTATTACTTATATATGCTAAAATAAATTAAGTGGACTGAGAAAGTGAGCCTTAACTAGCTCGCACGCAGCTCGGGTTCACCAGAAAGTTATATGAATTCCCCACGTCAGGTCTCCTGGAAGAGACTTCAGACTCTCCACAGTGCCTCGCAGGGGACAACACTGTCCTCTTGCCTAGGTGGCCGCTGGGAAAGTAAACCAAGGTGTGCTTACCTTTGTAGTCCACAGCTTGACGGTCCAGTCAAACGATGATGTGACAAACAGGTGTGAGAAGTCGATGGGGCCCACTGCCATATGGCAGTTAATCCCTGTCACGGGCCCTTGGTGGCCTTCGAAGACCTCCCCGATGCCGGCTTTGCTGCAAGAGACCCACAAGACAAGAGTTTCAGTGACCTTCACAAACCAGGGCCTGCTTTTAAGGAAACAAAACAAAACAGGTTTGTCTCTGCACGATTATTTCTCCATAATTTAGCACAGCCATAAACCACCAGACATGAAACTCACTGTCACAGTTACCTTGAGAGAAATAAATGCTATCCTGCTCTCAGTGATTTAAAAACATGGAGCAATCACATCTTTTTAATCTTCAGAATATACCATCGAATTTTATCACTTAATCCTTTTTCAGGAGTATTTCAAAGCCCATCACTGCTGATGAAGCTATTAACACTTTGATAGAAAACACATACAGTCAACCATCCATATCCACTGATGCCTGTGATATGGAGGGGCAGCTATACTGTGCCATTTTTAGATGGAACTTGAACATCCTTAGATTTTGGTACCTGCAAAGGCTCCTGGAACCAATTCCCCATGGATTCAGATACCAGGGGACAACTATATACTCAGATCCCAGAGCTTTCATAGTTATAATAAGATGATTCTATTCTTGTGATGACATTTGGCACAACTTCCATTTTAACTCCTTTTAGAGAAGACTTAAGACCTGGGTTCGATCCCTGGGTCAGGAAGATGCCCTGGAGGAGGAAATGGAGACTCACTCCAGTACTCTTGCTTGGGAAAATTCCATGGACAGAGGAGCCTGGTAGGCTACAGCCCATGGGGTCACAAAGAGTCAGACACTACTGAGCAACTTCACTTTCACTTTGGCTATAAAACTTCACATATCCTTGAGTACATGCATTTATTCTTTCAAGAAAATGTTTTTTCTTTAAAGTTTTTTTTTTTTTTTTGATGTGGCCCATTTTTAAAGTCTTTATTGAATTGGTTACAACATTGCTTCTGTTTTTTTCTGTTTTAGTTTTTTGGTCACCAGGCATTTGAGATCCTAGCTCCTCCACCAGGGATCAAACTCACACCCTATGCATTGGAAGACAAAGCCTTAACCACTGGACCTCGAGGGAAGTCCCTCAAGAAAATTTCTTAAATTAGGTTGACACTCCTGAAAATGTAAAACTTTGGGGAAACCCTTGTTGTCACAAAAATAATAGGCAAAATAACTTAAATGTAATACAGAGGAAATCATATTTTCACTGAAAGGAAGACAGTAATTTACAAATCCACTAAATGTAAATTCCATAAGGGCTGGTGCCTTGTTTTTCTTGTTGCAAAGTGTAGTAAGTGCTCAATAAACACTTGTTGAACAAAACAGCAAAGGAAGAGACAAACTTATGCCTTTCTCCCCAAGGGAAGCACATTTGAGAAATGGTGATACACAATTTGAAAGTTATCCACAGACATATGTCATTTATTTAACTAAGCTGGGATTGTTTCCATCACCCATTATTATATAACAGTCTGCATGCAATAACACCCAATTAGAAAATATATAAAAATGCTGTATTTTAAAAATTCATGTGCACAAGGTTATAAATATGACCAAGACAGAGGGGTTGTGGTATCTAAATATTACATCACAAAGAGTGAAAATGAATTAAGTTATCAAAGCATGTGAGCTTCAGGGGCACCAGTAAATGTCAGTGTGTTGAGCAAAATTTGAAATCACTAGCCAAGGGCTGTAGTGTAACAGGCACTCAAAAATTATGCCTGGTAAAACTGCTGACAGCAGTTCTACATGTGATCATTTACATTCGTTCTAGAGAACTCGAGGAACTGATCTTTGAAGTGGCCCCAGGTGAGATTCCGCTTGCCCTTAACAGCATCCTGAAAGGGTTTATAGGGTGCAAAATGAGGACCTTGTTTAATTTATGGAAGTGGATTTGCACCTTTTCCATGTTAGGTGAAAAATAGAAATTTCACACCTCTCCTCTGGAGCCCTATATGACCCACTTAAGATTACTCTGAAGCCAAATGCCTGTTGACTTTATAACTTTACTAAGACCTGTGTTTTATATTTCAGATGGATGGACCAATGTAAAGAGCAAAATCAAGCTTGTTGTAAAATGACTTGTGATTTGTTCATTGCATGCATGCTAAGTTGCTTCAGTCATGTCTGATTCTTTGAGCCCCTATGGACTGTAGCCCACCAGGCTCCCCTGTCCATGGGATTCTCCAGGCAAGAATACTGGAGTGAGCTGTCATTCCCTTCTCCAGGTGATCTTCCCGACCCAAGGATCGAACCTACATCTCTTATGTCATTGGCAGGCAGGTTCTTTGCCACTCTGCCACCTGGGAAGCCCCTTACGTCCCCTTCTTTTGAACACAGTGCATCTTCTGATTGTGCTTGAAAAGGAAAAGAGCCACAGAGCAAGAACATTCATCATGCAAATGGTTATTCACATTAGAAAATTTTCCAAAAAAAAAAAAATCTGAAAAGTTATCAATGTACATGTTCTGGAGCCCTCACAGATAACTAAGGCCCTGGGTTAAGGGAACTGAACCTGTGTCCTGCCGATTCTAATAAACATGTAGATAAACCTGTGAACCTTTGTTTGGTCCACTGTGCCTTCTGTGCTTCTCTCCAGCCATTTACGACATTCCACCTGTCTTGCAGATGTTTACGTGTTTACCTTTCCCGCCATCATCAGTTTCTTGAAGATAGGAACAGGCTTAAATGATGTCTGCATGCCTGGCATTGTCTAGCAATGCCCTTTTCTGAGAGTAGTTGTGCAGTGAACATTTCCATGAATGAACAACTTTATCAGATCTTTCTACACTTTTGGAAAACTTTGATGCATAGTTACAGCCAGTACCGATGAAGGAGGAGGGGGCTTCCTCAGTGGCTCAGACTAGGTAAAGAGTCTACCTGCAATGTAGGATACCTGGCTTCTATCTCTGGGTTGGGAAGATACCCTGGAGGAGGACATGGCTACCCACTCCAGTATTCTTACCTGGAGAATTCCACAGACAGAGGAGCATGGCAGGCTACAGTCCATAGGGACACAAAGAGTCAGACATGACTGAGAGACCAACTCTAGGAAGTAAGACTGCTGGGCATGGAAGCATAAGGAACATCTTCTTAGTCATCTTATACTCATGTGAGAAGGGAAAATACTGCTGGTTTCTGTGAGCAGCAAAGTAGGAACTTCGGAGCTTGTATTGTGTGAATGGGAGAGTCCTACACCTGGGCCATGGATGCCTGGTTCTTCGACAAATCACAAACACACTAGAGTAAGGACTTGGAACAATTCCTGGTTCCTCATGCAATCTACATAGCCTGTGATGCATGCAAGAGATGCAAAATTCATCGAATTAGAACTTCTACAGTGAAAGGGAAATAACGCACCAAGGTGAACACAGTGAAACTTTCAAAATATGAGTCCATCCGTTAAATCTTGTGTGTAATTTTATAATCTAGTCTTAAATTACTGGATTCCACATCTTTCCTGAGATTTTCCTAGGAGCATTTGCCAGTCTCTCAATCAAGATCGAGTTTGTATCACCTATCTTCATTCTGAATCTTCATTCTACCTCATGTATCTCATACTATTTTGGCACCTGATCGGGAGGAAGGGCCCTAAGGCACCTCTCTATATTATGCAGTTATTTTCATTCTTTGTTCTTTATATAGATTTTTAACTCCTCACTTACTATGTTCCCAGCACCAAGCAGGAAATCAGTAATGAGATGGAAATAGTTCAGCCAAAAAACAAAAAAAGGCAGATGGCTGAATAGTTAAAAATGTGATGAATGCTAATGCAGAAGTGATATAAAAATAAATAAAAAAGCAAACCCATCTGACAGCTTGTATTCCTATCTCATTGATTCTACTCTAATTTTCTCCCAAATACTCATCTTCTCAAACCACATATTTACTTGTTTATTAGTTTACTGTCAGTCACCCTCAACCAGAATATAAACTCCAGGTCTGTTTTGTTCCTTACTGCATTCCTTATAAAGTGATGGTGCCTGACATATGGTAGGTTCTCAGGAAATATCCCTTAAACAAATGAATGAATAAAGGGAATGAAAGTTCTATAGAAACATAAAGGAGGAAATGATTTCCTTCATCCAAGGGAGTCAGGAGAGGCTTGTGGAAAGACCTTTGTGCTGGCTCTTGAAGGATAAGGGCAGGGGAGATTAATCAGGCCAAGAAGAGAGAAATACCAGACACAGCAGGAGAAACTGGGTGTACAAATTCACAGATATGTAGTGGGATCAGCAATGGTGGGGATGGGTATGTAGCTAGAGCGGGAAGGCTGAAGCTGGGAAGGGGCAGGCGGTAAGGGCAGTCAAGAATCTTCTCTGATATGCTAAGAAGTTCGGGCTTTTTTCCTCCAGGCAATGTGAACCATCAAAGGCTCACAAATGGCTAATGACCAGAGCAGACGGATGCTATAAACAGTGAAGACAGGAGACTGTGATTTGCATTTCTTCAGAAATGCCTTTCTCATAATGCAAGGTGTTACAATCCAGCAAGTGATAACAGACTTCCGGAAATGAAGCACACGTCATGGGTAAGAAAACAGAAACTCACCTTCCATGACGACAGGCCGTGTAGACTGTACCCTCCTCGCTGCCAACCACGAAGTTATTGACGTCTCCCGTTGGGAAAGCCATTCCAGTAACGGCCACAGGTTTGGACTTATTGTACACCAGCTCCATGCTCTCCTACCAAAACACGGCGTGGTTACATTTCCTCTGTCAACTCCTCGCCATGCCAAAGATAGCATGGAAAAATCATTTGACTAAATCGTCTGTTTGCTTTTCACACAGCGTTACAAAAGACCCCGGCTGTGCCAGAAACCACGCTTTACTGCCCCTGACATTCAAGCTTCTGTGTATCTCTGGTTTCAGGCCGGCTGGATTTCATCAGCGTGTGCTGCAGCTTCTGAAGTCAGGCAGAGATGACAGGTGAGAATTTTGAAACTAATGGTGCAGAAACTAAAGATAATACTGTAATGGTTACACTTGTCAGCCCCAGGCTTTAATAAAACACACAATACCCTTGTATTTACAAACATTTTCAAAATCAATTGTTCGTGAGAATACACATGTATTAATATCAGATGTATGGAGCACATTTGTCAAAGCAGGAGTGTGTGTCCTCCGTGGACTAAAACCAGAGAGTTGTCACTGAGGTCACAAGAACCAGATTTCAGTAGGGACTCAAATTCATGAAGGGCAGACATTGGGTGTGTAGGCTATTAAGTCTGCAAAAAACAATGTATAAGTTGGTCTTTAAAATAGTAAATGAGGGTCTTTATTTTATCTAAAGTGATTTTCAGAATCAGGAATTCCAGTGAATTTTAAAAGACATTTTGCTGAATAGAGTTTAAGGACAGTCAAGAGTAGTTAGGTGTAACTAACATTCTTGAATACTTCTGGTTATTTAGATCCAAAAGCCTGCTTGGTACACCTAAAGTAATTAAAAGAAGAAAAAAAGCCTGAGGGATCATGGCATTATATTTGGAAGTTTAGTCTCTTTTATGCAAACAAATAAACCGAGGCATCGCAGCCATGGAGTCTATAAATCGGAAGCACGTGCTAGCAGTCTGGACCGCGCAGACCAGGTGGTCATGTGACAAGCTCGCAGTCCAGACCCAGACGCGGGGAGTGCCTGAGTGAGCGGATGCTGTGACGGCAGTAACACAAGTCGAGCCATTGCTAAAATTAGCAGAGGGAGGGTACGGCCTCGTGGGCACCCACTTGGGGCAGAGAGGGAGCAGGGCAAATGTCTTCGGCTCCCTTGTCTGCCCACCATCCACAGCCATACCACCGACATGCTTCCACGCCTGGCCAGAGACAGGCGTCTGCGGGCACCCTAAAACTAATAAAAATGACCCCGCAGCTCCCCCTGCGACGGGCTGTAACCTAAACACACACACATACATTTAATCAAATGGGCAATTAAAAATTCCTAATTAGAGGGTTTACTCGTATCTGTTTGCAATCTCCAGGACTTTTAAAAGAAAACAACATATTGCTGAGAAATTTAAGACAAAGCTGTAAAATACCCACACACAACTCCCAAAACTTGTATAAATGTTAAAGATCAGCAAAAGCAGAGGAACTTGAATGGTAAGGAACTTAGGAGCTCATCCCCCCACACTAAAATGATAAAAAAGAACTTTTGTTTTACTGTTCTCTACATCTCTATTTTGTGGCGACTTTTGGGAGGTTCTTCTTGGTTTCCACATTTCCTTACGTCTCCTGAAATTGCCAGTATCTTCTAAACTTCTGATGGAGACATTCTAGCATTGTTAGTTCAGGAAAGGAGAAAGGAATGTTAAAATTGAGAATTATCTCCTAGTTCTCTTATACAATTTTCTTGATGTTTCCTCACATTGTCAAAGGCTACACCAGGAAACTCTGCTCCGTTTTTAGCTGGTGGACAGTAAGTACTTTATTCCCCCACAAAGAAAAGTGGAAAGATGTGGCTATTTGCGTGTTTGTGTGTATATGTATTGTCTTCTGTGTGTGTGTACACATGTATATTCTGAAAGTTGCGTTTGGATGTCTCCCCTCATGGTCTCTTCCACATCTGCTCCTCCGTTTGCCTCCCATTAATGTCATCAGGAGCAGTTTGGAGACCTTGGAACTTTTTCATTTTCAACTTCCCATTTGTTGAGCAAGGAATGGCAGGAGCCACGCTAACAAACATTCCAGAGGAGAAAACAGATGGCTGGACAAATTCTTCAAACACATGAGGCAGTTGTCTAGGCTACAGATGTGCGCAAGCGCTTGGATTTCTGTTTCACTGGGATACCTTTTTCTCCAAGGCAAGCACCCATCAGGGATCGCTCTGCATTTGTTTAAAAATGCTGTAGGGTAAGCAGGATTCCTACCGCAGCCAACTTCCATAATTACTATGCTTTAAAATGGATTATTTCATTTTCACTTGAAACTGACCTACGGATTAACGTATTACAGTAATTACATGATGTGTGGTAAAGGAAATGGGTTTTGGCTTCCAGAGAAGGCTGCCGAAAACAGGCCCCACTCTTTCAAGTGCACCCACTGATTTGAGCTCCTATAGGATGTGAGGGTTTGGCTTTTAGGAACTCCATTCCATTAGGCAGGTATCTCTTTTAACCAGGATGCTCTTATGTGTAGGGGAAAACAAACCCACCTGTGGAGTGGAGAGCATGTCCAGGCTCCAGGAACACATTTTGCCATCGGTGGAGACGGTGATGAGGTTATGAGCATTTTGGGTCCCAACAACATTTACACAGTACACGGGATGCTGCAGAAGCATAAACATGGAGGATCAGATGCTGATCCAAGAGGAAATGCTTACATCTGAGTGTCAAACACATTACTCTGAAACAAGGATCAGAGAGTGACATAATCCTACAATAATAGAAGCCTCGGGTCATTTGCCACTTTTGATTGGAACCCGATTTCTTTTTCAAAGCTCTGGCGGCACCACGGAGTCGTGGAAATACTCCGAAAGCTTCACCTTGCTCGGTCAGAGGCAGCGCAATGGAGCTGAAGCAAGCGGGAGCCAGTGAGGACTGGTGGGACAAAAGGAATACAGGTCAATGTGTGTGACTTAAATGAGGCTCCACCATGGAGTCTGGCTTTTCAGCTCACCATGAGTGATGGAAAAGGACAGTCCTCACTCAGAAGGGCAGAATGACTGACTTTTGGGAGGAGTGTTACTAATGCTCAAGTTTAGCACATTACAGCCACAGTGCCAAACATTTGTTAACATTCTTTATAAAAAGTCGTTAATATTCATCAGCCTCTTTTGATCTGAAGGAGAGATACTGGTGGTGGAAATTATTAGCACAAGGAAACTAGTGAGATAAAATTAGCTTCTTTTTTTGCTACAACATCTAGGATAGGATAATGATAGTTTTGTTTTTTATTTCTTCAAAATATTGCTAGGGTAGGATGGAGGCTTACATTTGACCAGGGCCTTGAGAAAGGTCACTTAAACATCCCAGGAATCATAAGCAAGATGCTCTAACCTTTTGTCATAACTCAAGAAGGTATTCCACTTGGTAGAGTCCTAAATGGTAGGCTCAAATCATTTGCAGCTGCACATTAAATACTAAATAGAAGGTTAGCATAAGCAGAACCTAGCGGTAATTTGGGTTAGATTTCAGGCAGCTCAGCCTTCAGTGGCCAAACCACAACTTAGCTGATGCTTCTCTGTGCAAACAGCTGACAGTCTTTCTCTTGATGAGTTACTGTCCATAAGATGTAGCCAAAAAAACGATGAAACAATCTCTAATATTGGAAAGTTGATATCATATAAAGGATGGTTCCCCAACTATTATTATCATATAAACTCCTGGTCAGAAGGAACTGTAATAAACATCAAGTGCAGCTATTCCTCTGCCTCTCCCAAGACGTGGTCCAAACTCTGCTGAAACACCTTTCTTAGCCAATTTTAGCACTAATTCTTGGGCGATCCTGCTTTCTACCAATGGGAATAAAGAAAGTTCAAGGAGATATCTTTAGTGAAGCGCCTTCTGACATCATATTCATCAAGTCCAAAATAATACTTAGGGATTATTCTTGTATTACTCCCTTTCCCCACCCCTCTGCCCCAGTCTTGTCTTTCTCAGACTAATCATCACCAGTTCCTTCAACTGGTTTGAGTATCTGCTGTTCAATACCTTCCCCTGGTCACCCTTCTGTTTTGCTACATTTTGTGTGAGTTCTCCTGCCAGTGAAGTTCTGAGAATGAAACACAACTGCATACCTATACTCTGGCTCACAGGATATAGAAATATGGGGCACTGAACTGTCACTTCTCATGTGATAAAATAAATATGCCTGTACAAATGTCTACTAAGATTTACACTTGCTATTTTGGAATTTGCATCACCTCGTTTACCCATGCTGGATAGAGAGACAACCAAGTCCCTATATGTTTTTCACACAGTGTTCCTACATAAACCTTTGAATGAATCAGCCTCAGTGGGTCTGGATAGTGGAAAGCACAGCGTAGATGTGAAGTGAAATATTCTTCTGATCAGGTCTCTGAATATCGAGAGGACTGATTGGTCTTGGACAATGCTTTCTCCCAAGTCTCTGGTGTATGAAACTCAAGGGGGAGTCATGTGGCATTCTGAGCTCTACGTGCAAATAAATGAAATAATGGGTAAGACAGATTCTCGCTTGAAAATGGCAGACCATAATACTGAGAATGGTGACTGCAGCCATGAAATTAAAAGACGCTTACTCCTTGAAAGGAAAGTTATGACCAACCTAGACAGCATATTAAAAAACAGAGACATTACTTTGTCAACAAAGGTTCATCTAGTCAAGGCTGTGGTTTTTCCAGTAGTCATGTATGGATGTGAGAGTTGGATGGTGAAGAAAATTGAGTGCCGAAGAACTGATGCTTTTGAACTGTGGTGTTGGAGAAGACTCTTGAGAGTCCCTTGGACTGCAGGGAAATCCAACCAGTCCATCCTAAAGGAAATCAGTCCTGGGTGTTCATTAGAAGGACTGATGCTGAAGCTGAAACTCTAGTACTTTGGCCACCTGATGCAAAGAGCTGACTCATTGGAAAAGACCCTGATGCTGGGAGGGATTGGGGGCAGGAGGAGAAGGGGACGACAGAGGATGAGATGGCTGTATGGCATCACCGAATCGATGGACATGGGTTTGAGTAAACTCTGGGAGTTGGTGACGGACAGGGAGGCCTGGTGTGCTGCGATTCATGGGGTCGCAAAGAGTCGGACACGACTGAGCAACTGAACTGAACTGAACTGAACTGAATACCGAGAATGAGAAAGCAAGAGCAAGGCACGGTTACAAGCCCCCAGTCTGCCTAGTGTTTTTCAGCAAGAGTCCAGCAGGAGTTTCTTTTAACCACAGAGCATAAACACAAATACCAGAACCCTAATGGGTCAGGACCCCTAAGGGTGGGTGTAGTAGGAAAAGCAGGCATCCAGAAGGAGGCACAGAGCAAATGCTCCAAGAAGGAATGTGTGTGGGAGCCCTTCCCTGGCTTTCATCAGTACTACTGGCCTGTGCTTTCAAGAGTAATAAAGCTCAGCTGAAAAGAAGAGAGAGATGCAAAAAAAAAAAAAAAACTAGAACAGAAGCAGGCACATGGGCCTGCCTACTTATACACAGACACAGACACACACACACACACACACTCTACTTAATGGAAAGAAAAAGCAACAGTGCAGCTCATTTTTCTAGTATAGAGGCCAGATTGTTTTTATTTATTTTAGGAATAAACTTGCTGTGTGGCAGAAGGCTTTTGCTTTAATTAGGATTTCCTGTTGTCCCAAATGCATATGTGTGGTGGGTGTGAAAGGAAATTAGTTAGTAATCTGTGGTGGGCCTCTTTTTCCTTAACCACTTTTGATCCTGGTACCAATCTGCCAGGCATTAGTGGAGGTTGAAAGACAGTCACAAAATTATCTGAACCCTTTGAGCCGTGGATTCAACAGAACACAGCAAAAGAGAAAACAGTTGTTCTTTTCTAACAGAAGTAAACTGTTTGATAACAGAGATAATGTCACTGTTTGATAATAGTATTTTTGTTGTGATGATCACATCGTAAGTTGCTTGAAAAAGACAGATGAATACTTTGGAAGAGCCCTGCATTTGGATTCTCCCCAAAAGCTTCACACTGAATGTTCTAATAGTTGGATTTATGACTTCTTGAAATTTCAGAAGGTATGCTCACAAACACACCAGATGGGCACACAGTGCCAAGAAGTGGCTTCGTGCATCTTGAGCAAACACCTGCATCAAGCCTGTCTCCTCCTGCATCACAATTTTCTGTTATTAGTTTGAACACGTGGGGTAGGCAAGAGCAATTTTCTAAGATTCCCAAGAACTAGTTTCACCTGCATGTGTCTTAGGTCCAAGTCAATCAGAATTAAGGCTGACTCGGTATTTGTCATTTCCCATCGTCGATTTTGCAACAGAGGGAGAATTTTCCTCTTCATGGTCTCAGCTAACGCAACTAGCAGTCCTTTTTCAAAGCTAGATGGTTTTTCAGGCCAGCAGATGAAACAAATGAGGCAACCACATTAAGGAAATTGAAACAATAGTAGAGCTGTATCCTTGGGCATAATTTGGGCATTTTGGAGAAAGGACATCAGTTCCCCTGAATGTCAGGGTAGAAGAGATTGATGGAGACATGCCTGTCTTCTCATTCCTCCCAACAATCGCTAAACACACCTGTCATTCTCTTTAAGGAAATGACAGAGTAGTTGTCTTACGAACACTATACTGAACCTCTTCTGCTAAATTATGGGTAATGGCTTTGAGATGTTGACTTTTAACCCTATGGATTATATTGTCACTGTAGACTACACTGTTGAGACTTACACCATGCATACCAGAATTTAAAGCCATAGCACTCCCTCAATCACAAATGGAAACAGCCTGTTGGCCAGAGTCCCACATGCCATCTCCAAAGAGAAAATGCTTACTCGTCATGGTCAGTTTGAAAATATGGAGAGAGAAGCATGGAAACATATACACTACCACGTGAAACACAGATAGTGGGAATCTGCTGTATGACTGGGGGAGCTCGAACCAGGGCTCTGAGCCAACCTAAAGGGGTGGGATGGGGTGGGATGGGGTGGGAGGTGGGAGGGAGGTCCAAGAGCGAGGGGACAGATGTATACCCGTGGTTGATTCATGCTGATGTGTGGCAGAAACCAACACAATACTGTAAAGCAATTATCCTTCAATTAAAAGTAAATAACTTTTTAAAAAACGAAAATATGGGTTTCCACCTTATAACATACATGTGCAGAGTTTCTTTGGAAAAACAATTTCACAGAGGCCTCTTCCAATGTTTCTTTCTCTGCCCTTGTTTAGTTTTAAGCTACCCTCCCTGGTTGCTTTGAGGACCCCCAAAGAGATCCTTTCTGTGTGTTAAAAAAGTGAGAGTTAGTCACTCAGTTGTGGCCGACTCTTTGTGACCCCATGAGATTCTCCAGGCAAGAGTATTGGAGTGGGTTGCCATCTCCTTCTCCACTATGTGTTCAAACTTGTAGATTACTAAGAGAAGCTTCTAAACCCAGGGCTTCCTCCATCTACTTTCCACTCGGCTTTCCTTTAGTCGGGATGTGATCACTATAAATCAGATACTTCCAGGTTGGAGTCACTTACGACAGAAGTACCTCTGTCAGTTACACCCCCCTTCAGGGCTTGGATGGCTGACTGGGATGTGATGAGAACTGGACCTACCGTATGTGCAGCCGCAGACAAGGGCGTCCGCTGGACAGGCGTCCTCCGATGACTGCGATTATCCCACAGGACGATCTGGCCCGAATAAGTGCCCCCAACCACCAAGTTGGGGTGGAAACGAGCAAAGCAGACAGACATCACGGAGGACTGTGGAGGGAAAGTGGAGAAAGATATGCTGTGAAATGGTCGGGGGAGGCTTGTTTGATTGTGAAGAGGAAACCGCAAGTCACATTAACTCAGCACCTCCTGGAAATCACAAAGCAACTGTTCAGCGCAGAGTTAACAGAACAGTATGTAGCCGACATAGACTTTCCCTGGAGAGCTTGACCGCTGTTTACTGCTTGAAGCTTGAAATCTGAAGTCCTGGCCATGTCATCAAATAGGCATCAGACCCATCTTAAGCACACCACTGCTCTGCGGTCTGTAAAGCTTGGTTTGTGGAAATTTCCCATTTATCAATACAATGACATCAGAATTAACATGAATTCTCCACTGAAGTCTTCACAAAGCAGTTCTTTACTTTGGGGGCATGTCCTCAGCACTGTACCGCATTGGCAAGCCTTTGAGGACTTTGAGACGGGGTTCTTTTTTTTCTTTTTGGCTTAATGTAGACTTCTAGGAAGTGAACTGACCTCAGACTGATCCAACTGGTTCCTCCCCCAAATTCCCTCCACTCCCATGGGTATTCTCCTGACCTTCATCCTGCCCACTTCAGACAATTCTTAATGTTATTCTTTGCCTATTTTAACAAACAGCCAAAAATGGATTTTCATCTAACTCTGCCATGGCCTGTCATAGCATCACGAATGTGGTTTCTAAAGTGCCACAGAAGACTACTGGGCACCACATTTTATAGGAAATTACTTCGCTGAGACAGAGCCATGATACATTTGAAAATCAGACAACTTTGCTGTGCCACATTTGCTGAGAAGTCCACAAGGATTCCTGTTTTGCTTTACACGGTTGCATTTACACACACAAGGGCTTGTTTTTAATAAATACATTTCATCCTTCCAACTAAATTCAACGGATGATCATGTGTAAGGAAGGCCCTGTACCAGCATGATGGGAATACAAAGGCAGTCGCTGCCCTTGACAAACCTGTGCCCTAGGAAAGGGAACTGAAAAGCATGTGTGTGATGAACATACTGCTGCCAGTGACTCCATGTTAATCCATGCCTCTAAAAAAAAGCTAAAAAAAAAAAAAAAGGTGACTCTCTGCACTATGTGGTCATGTGGGCAGGTACGTGCCTTGGCAAGTGGAGAGGAAGGTGGATTGTTGTCCTCACCTGTCTCTTGGGTTTGAGATGCTTATGCAGGTCATAACTTGCATACACAAGCTGCAGTCCTGAAGGCAATATGGGCCGTGAATAGATCATATGAACGTGTGTGTGTGTGTTTGATGGGAGTGGTGAGGAAGGCTTGCTTTAGCTAGGAGTTGGGGAAAAAAGAGGGGAGTGGAAAGGGTGGGAGACTTAGAAAGACCTAATGAAAGGGAATGTATCACTTTTGATGTAAGTGTGGAATGTTCAGCAAGTAGAGAGGAAAAGCAACAGCAATCCCCGAGAGATGGGGTAATGGCAAAGACTAGAGGCACCTGGGCTGGTGAACAGCAGAGTCTGGTTTGGCTGAGAAGGAGCCTGTGTGGAAGATGCGGGGAGTGGGAAATGTGGCCGAGGGCTCAGCAAGAGAACCTTGAATGGCAGGTACTGTTTGGATTGTTTTCTGTGGGCAACAGTAAGAAGTCATAGCTTTCTGTGCAAAAAAAGAAAAGGAGAGAGAGAGAGACAGAGAGGATCAATGGTTGTACCAGATAAGCCAGTAAAGTGAAGAAATGACTTAAAAAGAAATGACGACCTTTATCTGACTGGGAAGCTGACTGTAAAAAACATATCAGATCTACTATCAGCCCAAGGCTTAAAAAAAGTCTCAGATTCTCTGAAGTAGAAGAATGTAGACTATTTTTCAATGTCACATTTTCCTAGTTTGAATGATTTTCAGTTCCAATTTCTTCAACACGGGTCGATGGAGAACATGCTTGTGCCCCAATCTGGTTTTCATAAAGTTCAAGAATAACTCTCAATAATGGTATGGAATTAAAGAAAAAGAAAATAATGCTGGTCAGCTTCTTGTTTTACACATCCCACCAAAATGATTCTTAGTTTTCAATTGATGAAATTCTTATGTTGCTTGAGCTATGTTGGAGACATTTTGTTTAAAACTTCAGAAAGACTTAAAATTATCCAGGTGGTATCAACAATTGAATTTACTAAAGCTCCAATCAATACAGATAAAGGAATGTCATTAAATTTGAAAACTCCAGAATTAAACCACTTGATTGCTTCCATGTTTCACTTAAATCCCAGCAAATACTGCTCCAAACCTTGCAGTCCGTTGAGAGACTAAACTAGAGAAAAATAAACAGTAAGGGTATTTTCACAAAACAGAAATACATAGTTGGTGATCAACCAGAATGCAACCCCACAAGGTGAGAACTCTAAGTCCTATTTTTCCATTCATTAGTGTGCCCACGCTTCATTCATTCATTCAACACACAGTGCTCACCAAGTACTAACTAAACCACATTTCAAGAAAACTGTAAATATCACAAAAACCACCCATCTCCAATTCAGAATACTCTTTACCTTTGATAAAAAGGCAAATTATTATGAAACAGAAACAGACTCACAGACACAGAAAACAAACTTATGGTTATCAGAGGGGAAATGGGTGGGGGAAGACATAAATAAGGAGTTTGGGATTAGCAGATACAAACTACTATATAGAAAATAAACAACAAAGTCCTACTCTATAGCACAGGGAACTATATTCAATATCCTGTAATATATCATAATGGAAAGGAATATGAAAGGAATAAATATACATGCAGGCTTCCCAGGTGGCTCAGTGGTAAAGAATCTGCCTGTATGGAACAAAAGAGACGCGGGTTCAATCCTTGGGTCAGGAAGATCCCCTGGGGTAGGAAATGGCAACCCACTCCAGTTTTCTTGCCTGGAGAATCCCAGGGACAGAAGAGCCTGGTGGGCTACAGTCCACGGGGCCACAAAGAGTCAGACACGACTGATCATGCACACATATATTCATATATAACTGAATCACTTCCTGTACACCAGAAACTAACATAACATTGTAAATCAATTATACTTCAGTTTTTAAAATAAGTCAAATTAATGTAAAAAAAAAAAGAATAACAATACTTTGGAACATCAGAGTTCTGCCATTAGAGTCTACTTTGTTTTGCTGCAAACCAATCTTTACAAGATGGGCTCAATAAAGGAAGGAAATGGTAGGGGATCTAACAGAAGCAGAAGATATTAAGAAGAGGTGGCAAGAATACACAGAAGAACTGTACAAAAAAGATCTACATGACCCAGATAGTCATGATGGTGTGATCACTCACCCTCACCTAGAGCCAGACATCCTGGAATGTGAAATGAAGTGGGCTTTGGAAAGCATCACTATGAACAAAGCTAGTGGAGGTGACAGAATTCCAGTGGAGCTATTTCAAATCCTAAAAGATGATGCTGTGAAAGTGCTGCACTCAGTAGACCAGCAAATTTGGAAAATTCAGCAGTGGCCACAGGACTGGAAAAGATCAGTTTTCATTCCAGTCCCAAAGAAAGACAATGCCAAAGAATGCTCAAACTACCACACAATTGCACTCATCTCACATACTAGTAAAGTAACACTCAAAATTCTCCAAGCCAGGCTTCAGCAATACGTGAACCATGAACTTCCACATGTTCAAGTTGGTTTTAGAAAAGGCAGAGGAACCAGAGATCAAATTACCAACATCTGCTGGATCATCAAAAAAGCAAGAGAGTTCCAGAAAAACATCTATTTCTGCTTTATTGACTATGCCAAAGCCTTTGACTGTGTGGATCACAATAAACTGTGGAAAATTCTGAAAGAGATGGGAATACCAGACCACCTGACCTGCCTCTTGAGAAACCTGTATGCAGGTCAGGAAGCAACAGTTAGAACTGGACATGGAACAACAGACTGGTTTCAAATAGAGAAAGGAGTACGTCAAGGCTGTATATTGTCACCCTGCTTATTTAACTGATATGTAGAGTACATTTTTAGAAACTCTGAGCTGGATGAAGCACAAGCTGGAATCAAGATTGCTGGGAGAAACATCAATAACCTCAGATATGCAGATGATACTACCCTTTTGGCATAAAGTGAAGAAGAACTAAAGAGCCTCTTGATGAAAGTGAAAAGTGAAAAAGTTGGCTTAAAGCTCAACATTCAAAAAACTAAGATCATGGCATCCAGTCCCATCATTTCATGGCAAATAGATGGGGAAACAGTGGAAATAGTGAGAGACTTAATTTTTTTTGGCTCCAAAATCACTGCAGATGGTGACTGCAGCCATGAAATTAAAAGATGCTTGCTCCTTGGCAGGGAAGTTATGACCAATCTGCTGCTGCTGCTGCTGCTAAGTCGCTTCAGTCGTGTCTGACTCTGTTTGACCCCATAGACGGCAGCCCACCAGGCTCCTCCATCCCTGGGATTCTCCAGGCAAGAATACTGGAGGGGGTTGCCATTTCCTTCTCCGTATGACCAACCTAGATAGCATATTAAAAAGCAGAGACATCACTTTGCCAACAAAGGTCCGTCTAGTCAACACTGTGGTTTTTCCAGTAGTCATGAATGGATGTGAGAGTTGGACTATAATGAAAGGTGAGCACTGAAGAATTGATGCTTTTGAACTGTGGTGCTAGAGACGCCTCTTGAGAGTCCCTTGGACAGCAAGGAGATCCAACCAGTCCATCCTAAAGGAGATCAGTCCCGAATATTCATTGGAAGGACAAATCCTGAAGCTGAAACTCCAATATTTTGTCCACCTGATGTGGAGAGCTGACTCATTGGAAAAGACCCTGATTCTGGGAAAGACTGAAGGCAGGAGAAGGGGATGACAGAGGATGAGATGGTTGGATGACATCTTTGACTCAATGGACATGAGTTTGGGTAAACTCCGGGAGTTGGTAATGGACAGGGAGGCCTGGAGTGCTGCGGTTTATGGGGTTGCAAATGGTAGGACACGACTGAGTGACTGAACTGAACTGAACTGAGCCACAGAGTTGGTTCCCCTGGCAACCAGCCCCTGTCCTTCAGTTAGGT